TATAAACGGTGGAACGGGCCGTCTGTGCGTCTCCTTGTTCGCATCCCACGCGCATCACTGATCACTGCTGATGGGCTGCTGTTGGTCGCCCGTGGGGTCAGCAGCGCCACCCGTCAGCTTACAGCAGATGGCGGGTGACTTACTTGCTATAAGGCGGCCGAAATACTCGTACTGGCTGTATATGTAGACGTCAGCGATATATACCTGAGATTCCGCTTGGACGCGATTCATCACCACCAATATTAACGGTCTACGATTGTTCTTGACTGGTGGATTTCGCCAGAAACTCTGCTCCTGTTCACGGGACCAATCTTCCGGGCCTCCACGCGCTAGCCGACTGGGATGGCCCGCCTCTTGACACATATCGAAAGAAGACATCTTCTCAGCACTGAGTTGGCATATTTGAAACCGTGTCACTCAGTTACAGAGATGTACGCTCACGAACGCGCACGATGTGGGGATTATCCATAACGAGCCAGTGTTTGCCTCTATTTAAGCAGGCGAATCGACCACACATTCAGCAAATTAAAGAGAGAAATAGCTCATTGTTGAACGACGTCTTTCCAAGCATGGGCTCATATATGACTTGTTGCACCATCTGCTATACACGCATGTGACAACACCCATGGCTTTTAAGCCAGTGTGCTGAGTACAACCAACAACCAGTCGACAAAAGCTCGACACTTGACAGCTTATCTCACCTTTGCGAAGGCATCAGCGAGGTCTTCTACCATGAATCATCTATGGCCTACCCAGAAAAGGCATGCGCCACCAACTAGGACGACTGGAAAGATTTCGAGAGTGGAGTTTCTGTGACACCTGATGGGAATAAAGAGGCTTGCTATACGTAACAAGGGCAAGTTAGAGACAGTATGCTGAGGCTATCAGAATGTATGGGTGCATAGCTTTCATGCTATAAAGCAGAGCTCGACTGCTGTCTAGAAAGATCACAACATTACAGTCAAACATCTATTCGATCAAACATACCCTCTTGTTCCAGTACCCGAGACTCCAAGATGCAGCTTACAGTCCTCGCCTCTCTTCTTGCCACTGTGGCTATGACCGCCAGTGCCGCACCTTCCACCGGCATTGAGGCCCGTCAGGGAGTTCCCCGAGTCCGCGCCACTTGTAAGTGACAACATTGCGCAATACAAAACACACGGAACACGTATTGACGTTATTTTCATTACAGTCTACCGTGACCAACAATGCGGCCGCGACGGCCGGCCTTATGCCGATGACTTCGTCCCACTGCAAAACACCACCGCCACCGGCCTGAGCACGTGCATGAATTTCCCCCCCTCGTTCAACTACCCTAGCACATTCTTTAACGAGACCATACTTACGAGGACACGTAAGTTTCATTTGCATGCTCATAAATTTTGGGTTATGATGAGCTGACCAGTTGCGTGCAGTCCGTTTCTATGATCTTCCTTGCGAGCAACTTACCGACGTCGGCAGTGGACATCACATCGATATCGCGCCTGGCTTCACGGCTGGTTGCCAGAACCTGACACTCAAGTCTTATGTCACTTTGTAGATGCTATAGCTGACGAGGGGTCTGTTGGTGGACAGATCGAGGAAGGCTTTGTCATGTGGTAATGCGATGTAGTGTGAGTCGGGTCCAACACTCCGGCTCACATCACAGCACATTCAGGACCTTGAAGGAATTTCCTACGCTCTTCTAGTCACTCATTTATAGAAATACAAAATATGGAGCAATCCAACATCGAAGACTATGACACTATTTCGATGAGTTGTTCATTATCAGCGTTCCCAGTATACTCGTCGGGGAGTCCTGATGAAGAAACTGTAGAAGGTGTGTAAGATTGCGTGGGGTCACGGGTAGGCGGAACGTACTACATGCATGCAGTCACTCTGCACGTGAACGTATATGCATGCATGCGACCGGCTTACCTGCAAGATCGCATCGAAGCACCAAATCGGGATGTTTGCAAAGCCACGTCATTTCACAAAACGTTGAGATCATGAGAGACTCAGGAATCGGGAACACGGGGTCAGCGGCATCACGAACTTACAAACTTGGCATCAACCTAAGCAAAAGTACGTAGTATGTCCCGAATGGAGTCATCTTGCAACAAGTGCCTGGAATTTGGCATCAAGTCGGAGTCTACGGATGGGGACTTTTACATCACTTCCTCGTATAATCTCACTCGCCAATAGGCACTAACGTAAGACTTTTCGTGTCAAGTTGCCCTTGAGGCTATGGAACAGCCTGAGAATGCTCTGGCCACTCAATAAAAACATCGCATTAGTGGCAGGTGTCCTACCAACGACCGACATCGACTGGGCGATGTAAGCCACCAACCGCACGATCCGAGTTGCCCTTCATATTAGAGTTGGTGGAGCAATTCAATGCGTAATAGCAGCTTGGCTTGCTTTTGTTGGATGAGAGTACATCATGGAGATATATAAAGCAAGCATCGTACACCGTTCTCCATTCCATCTCACCACAACATCTCATCTCATCTCCCTCTTTCCACATCCATCAATCCATCTATACCCCCAGTACCTCACATTATCCAAACCCAAACATGCAGCTCGCCAACCTCATTGCCCTCTTCGCCACTGCCGTCGCCGTAAGCGCGACGCCCGTCGAACTGGAGGAGAAGCGTCAGCTCGAAGGCGCTCCCCGCGTCTACGCCCGCTTCTTCCGCGACAACGGTTGCGGTCCCACTCCATGGGCTGAAGACACTGTCTTCTTGCAGTCCGAGACTGTGGGACTGGCTGGATGCCAGGATCTGGATGTTGGGCCATTTGCCAGCACCAGCTTTGATATCAACAACTTCAGCAGGACTGGTATGTGACACTTGTGATAATCGGGAGGCTATGAGAGCTTTGCTAATGAGGTTAATAGTGAGGTTCTTCAGCTTGCCCTGCTCTCAGCTCACGTCTACTACGAGCGGAAACTTTGTGGATATCGCTCCCGGCCAGGCTCCTAGCTGCAAGAACTTGGCTATCCGGTCCTGGATCACCATCTAAATGGCATCCCGCCGTATGACACTGGCTCTATGTCTGCTGAAAAGGTCAAAATATCACTGTGGGTCTAAAGTATCTGGTCTAGTCGCGAAAATGGAGGGGTTGAGTGGTGTAAGGAGAAATGTGAGATGAGTCGGGTCCAACACTCCGGTCTCGTCTTGCGGGTGTTCTTTCATAGTCTTCTTGTCGCTCCTTTAGTAAGAATATAAGATTTTTGGGACGCCCCCGCGTATACTTGCACAAGATTTACCGTTGCAGCTTATGTGCACGCGGAGTCTGACGCCTGCCTTTGGATACATTCTCGTAGAAGACGTCGTGAGTCTGCTGGCATGAAACATACAGTTCCGCAGAAACGCTTTAAGCGCAGTAGCATTGGGGGTCAGAGCTAGCAACTCGAGTATGTGGGTACAGAGACGGCAGTCGCGCTAGTATTCACGTAGCGGTGACGTAGTACCAGGCAAAAGATCCATGGATGGACTATCAGGCCACGAGTTGACTAAAACCAACGCAACTTCCCTCTTGAGCTCTCGCAACGCGTCAACGCTGCCAGGCAAGAATCTGCGCAACCCTGTCCTGACCGGAAACTGATCACGGCGTCAGCAACAACACACCGACGAGAAAGAGCTTTCGCACCATGAGCTCATATCAAAGCTCTACTTTCATAACTTATAGCCCATTTAGTAACGATCCAGATCCATACAGCATCATTTTCATTACTGAAACGATCATCTTGGGCGATGGCTTACTATCATGCGTCTGACCTCACCAAACTCTTCACGACAACAGATCTGGACGTGACCAGGGCGAGTAGAATATACTGTTGGATAGTTGATTCAAAGGACATGGTAAGAAATGATCCATAGAGCATGTCGAGTATAGTTACAGCGGCGATAGTCCTACCGCCAGATGGGTATAAAGCAGGCCTACTCTGGAATCCATAATTCTTTACCACTACATCTACCACAATCGCATTCAAGCACTTTCAGCACCATAAGCCAAAAGAATTCAAAACATCATCGAGATGCAGCTCATCACCATCGTTGCCTTCCTTGCGGCCGCCGCTAGCGCCGCTCCTGGCATGCTGTCTCCACGGCAATCTGGAAGTGTGCGTGCACGATTCTACGATGAGGGCGGCTGCGGTGGTAACGGAGCACTTCCTGGTAAAGCGGAGCTCATCCTCACGCCAAACGATACTGTAGGCAAGCCAGGATGTCGGGACTTGACTATCGGGCCATACCCCGCTGTATTCTTCGATCAGAGCACTCTGAATAAGAGGAGTAAGTCAAAGCACAACTTTATACAGCCCGCTCCCCACTGGGAGATTTCGCAATCATAGTTATGCTAATTTTTCGTCATCCAGTTCGCGTCTTGAATGTGCCCTGCTCTCAAGTTGTGGAGCCCTTGGACCAGACCCATGGAAACTGGATTGACCTTGGGCCAGGGAACGTCAATACCGGATGCAAGGCCTTCACTGTGCTTTCCTACCTTACTTTGCCGTAGAGAAGTCATTCTCCCGGCAAGGGCAAAAGTAGATGGTACGAGGTGAGGATGGAGATGTAGTAGATTGGGTCCAACACTCCAATTACGTACACGGCTGTTCGCAAGGTGTTTCTCTTTGTTTGTCTTTGTTCTCTTTCACCAACTTTATAGTCACTGGTTTGGTTTAGAATTCTGAAAACATCAGGTCATATGTCACTATCTCCTATGGCTCGTTGATATAATGCGGTGATTCTACGGTGTCTACACGCCACTTCCTTGCTGAGGCTAATCACCACCCACCTGTGTCCACATTCCGATTGCAGTAAGCCTTTTTTCAATCGCTCATTCCGAGCTCGGACAGTCACCTCGACCTGTGTCACAGTTAGCGCACTAACTCCCGCGCGCTCTTTTACCACGCCTGTTCCCTGGTAGCAAAGTCTTTCCCCCAGCCTCACTCCACTGCTCCCTCCACCCATCGCGCAACAAAGTCATTCAAGAAAACAACCACCAAAACGCCCAAGATGATTCTCATGAATCTTCTGCTCGCGTGCATCTTCGCCCTGTGCGTCGTTGCCGCACCCACGGACTTCGAGCTACACTCTCCGGTCGCGATTCCTGTCCCCGGCTCTGCAACCTACGACGCCGACGTCGCTGCTATCCTTGCCTACGTCCGTTCTCACAACTCTTCCCCCGTCCAGAGGTCCGCCGCCGATGAGCCAATTACTAGGTTATGCGGCTTCTACGAAAGTACTCCCGACTCCAAACCCCTCTGGAAGGAGATGCGCGAAGATGGGTCGATGAACTATCGCAGCTTCGAGCTGGATCCGGGCTCCACGATCAAGAGCGTCCTCAACCGCCACTGCGGATTCTGCATGTACTTCGACGGTAAGTGTGTCCGTGTTTCTACTTGCAGTACCTGCGGCGCTCCCAGACTGGACGCTGATTGGCAAGGAAGCAACTGACACGTGTTACAGAAAAGGGCGCTCTCATCATGTCCGTAGGACCCGATGAAGTGAAGTTCGCGCATCCTACAACTGCCAAGACCTACATCTGCTGGCGTCCGCCGCTGAAGGGTCACGAAGGCGGTAACTGAAGATGATCAGCGTCGACGGCGTGCACGTCGATACTGAAGTTCTCGACACTGCTTTTGGACAGTGTGTTTATCAGTCTCACCAACATGCGTCTTCCTTCTTCTCTTCCACAGAAGTGGAATGTGGCGCGTTAGGACAGTATGCGTTATGTAGTCCGTCAATATGAAGAATTGACAAGCATAACGATCTAACAAGAATTCGCCGGTGATGGTGATGTGTACTTCACATACAGCTCAGTTTCAATGACACGTGAATATTTGTGATCTATGTATCTCTAATGGCCCCTGAAACCTACTCTTCCTCTCTCTTTCTAACATTGTCTCCCTCCAGAATTACCGATGTTTCCCCAGCCACAGCGCTACACAAACAGGAAACTCGCGACGAACTGGTCAAATAAAACACTACCCATCAAACTAGCTATTTCACAGGCAGAAATGAACGCGCATTTAGCTCTGCAAGCGCGCGTGCACGACTACGAGGAACGCGACAAGGAGAAAGCAGCAGAACTGGAACCCGAAGCAGAAGTACGTACGGACTCATATACCAACACCGAAGAAGGAGAGTTGGAAGAGAAGAGTGTAGTACATGAAGATGAGAGGCACAGTGCGAGCGGTCATAATGATCATACGAAGACGACTTCGGAAAGAGATGGAACGGTGGTCGTTATGGGTGGCGGCGGTGATAGAGACATAGTGGTGATAACGATTAGGCATGTGCAGGCCATTGCGACCACTGTGGAAGGAAGTACATCCAAGGAAGATGAAAAAGGAAGTGAGGGCGGGCACGCATCGGGCGAGGTATGGACAGAGAGTCCGCATTTCCTTTGGGGGCCTTGAAAGATCATAATTCTTGAATGGTATAACAACAGTATCCCCTCATCCCTTCCCACGATATCAAAGTTATCCAACGACGCTTTGCCCCGTAGTGACATCTCTTCTTCTATTACTCCAGAACGCCTTGCTGGGTGGTGATGATACATGAAAGGTGACATGTGGGTGAAGATGCGTATAGTCGTCGGCCACTTCCATCATAGTACTCATCGGGGCCGAATGCGCACGTAGTCCGGAGGTGATGTGATGAGGTCAGTAAAGAGCGACACTCCTTCGAATGGGGCCATGTGACCCTCAAGTGGACATCGTAGGGCCATTGCCTAGTCCAATGAAGCGTATGCATCGTTCCGTAACAGCTGCGACTGATAGCTGATTGGAGTGCTAATCGATTTCAAGTCGCTTCTGTGCTCGATTTCTCTGCTTCTGCTTCTGTACTTTGCTCCTTTTCTTCGCTCTTCTTCTCTTCAGATTCCTGCTTAGGCTCCACCTTTGGTTCCGCCTTGGGCTGCGCAACTGTTTTGCTGACCACGAGGCCGATGAGATGAGAGCCAACGTTGCCAGCACCGTCGATAGGCCCGAGTTTCGCATCGAATAGCTTTGCCTCGCGTAGCAATCTGGGTGGTGTCAGCTATCATACACGTACCGAAATTGACTTTGTCACGTACCGTGCTTTACCACCGGGCGTCTTCACTGCCGCCTCCTTGATGACACCACCAACCTCCTCCCTGTAGCTCTCAAATACAGGTCCCATAATCATGCGGACCTGGATGTCGCTCAAGTACTTGTTAATCACCTTGTGCATGGTCACAGTGTCCTTAGTCAAGCTTTCCATACTGGGGCTGACATCTTTGTTGACTTCAGCCTCAGTATCCCATTCCACTTTCTTGAGACTGCGCATATGAACCTTTGCCCTCCCAGCTAAGATGCCTGTGAGCTTCTCGTGGATTTGGTTTTGTTGGTCGTACAACAGGCGCTTGACATTGTCAAACTCGCCAATTGAGGATTTGTTGGAAGCTGAAGCAGTGCGACGCCGAAAGCACTCGCGGATATAAGGTAGGATGGCGACAAGGAAGGAAAGTGTCTGAGAAGCAATGGCGAGATGTTTGGTGTTGATATTCTTCAAGCCAGCTGACTGCATGGCGCCCGCGCCGAGTATCAGTTGACAAAGTCGGGAGTTGAAAAGCTTGATGTAGTCGCAAAGGGAGGTAGAGACTTCGGAAGTCATGCTCGGCATGGCGGAAACCAGGATTTCGAAGCGTTCGATACCCCGGAGGACGACTGTTGATGATTCTGAGATGGTGTACTTTTCCTCATCCACAACAGCGGGGATAGTGGTTTTGTTCTTCTCCTTTGGCTTTTCTTCGGATGTGCCGTTTGTTTGTACTGAAGTGCCATTTGTGGTCGGCTTTTCGATCTCTCGAAGAATGTCACCAGTTTCGGCCCAGCTTGGTGGATCGCTCTCCATGCCCTTCAACAACCGTGCTAGGACCTCAGTATCGCTTGCGTCAAAGTCTTTCGGTTCCCAACGATCCGAATCCATTGATTTTATCAGTTCTTGCTTCTCGAAATCTGCAAATTTGGAGACGAAGTCGTTGATGTGGGTGTTCACCACACCCTTGAGTGCAGCGCCGGAACGTCCTGAGACAGCTTCACACTCATCCGCAAAAAGCCTACACATGTTGAAGTACCGTAGGAACCGTTCCAATGGGAGATTAGCTGTAGCTTCTGAGCGGACTTTGAGGAGCTTGGTGATCTGTGTCTGTGCTGCGTCGACAGCCTGGCCTAACAAACTTGACATATCCAGAGCTTGCATAAGTTCCATCTGCAAGTCATTGGAGCTTGGCGCTGGCACGTTATTGCCTACGTAATCATCGATGCTGTGCATATACGGACTCCGTGGAGGAGAGCGAAGCCCACCAGCAGAGGCGGGTGGAGTAGTCACGCCGCTTGTGACATCGAGAAGCACCTTGATCAGTGTGCTTAGACGGCGGAGCGCTTCTCCAATATTGGTGAAAATATTAGCGAAAAAGACCTCGGCATCTTCAGGATCCATTGCGCGCAGATTACGCGCAAGGATGGAATTCTTGTCCTGTTGACTAGTTCCTCGGCCGCCTCTTGTAGACACAGAGGCCATAGAACCAGTATCGTCTTCTGATGAGCTCGGCAAATGTTTCCGGATGAGGACTTTCATCTCTTTGATCATAGCCTCCCTGAAAGTTGCGCTAGCTTGATTGGTGAATTGCGCTCCGCTCAGGCCGTACAGACTAGCTCGTAGCTCTGCTCGTAGCTTTTCATCTGTCGTCATGTAGGCTGGTAAAGTGGTCTTCGGTTTCTGGTTGGCCCCGCGTGCTTTTTGCGATGCAGCATTCCATCGTTCCAGGGTATCATGAGCCGGAACTCGCTTGACGTGCTCTCGCAGGTCTGTGAGCAGAGTGTCGACAAAGCGTACTTCAAAGCCTCTGCCCACGCGGAACTTGAGCTCGGTAATGTTCTCGAAAACTCCATCTAGTGCTCTCAAGTGTCGCAAATCGATCAACTGCGGAGGTAATCGAGAGTCGAGCCATGAGGTGCTCTGAGTATCAGTCGTGTCCAGCGCGCCTGTTATCAGTCGTTCGATGACTTCTATCCGGGCCATCGCGGTTTCAAGGTCGCCGTCGACAACGGCTTCGTCGCAGTTCGAGAGTCCGACGATGACAGCCTGTAACTGGTCGACCGAGTCTGTCAGCCTCCTCAAATTCTCTCTCCGCCTCTTCATTTCGACGACCTTCAAGCCTCCTATTGCCATCTGCTCATCCAGCCTCTTCAAGTCTTCCCTGAGACCTTTTATCCTCGCGACCGAATCTGATGCTTCCGTCTGAAGCTCGCGGAGGGAGCCGAGCGCGGCGAAGAAGGATGTCGATGCTGTGGATATGGCCGAAATCAAATGCACCTCCACCGTGTCCATGTACCACGACAGCTTCTCTTGTAGAATCGCATTTGTAGCCAGAGCTTTCCGCCCGGGAGGTTGTGGGACGTCCAGAGAGCCGTTTGCCCCAAAATCATCGTTGCTTGTTGTTCGCGCTGGCCTGACCACCTCGGATCGCTCGCTCACTACGTCAAAGGTTCGCGGGTTTTCTAGGTGGAAGTTCTCGTCGAAGTAGATGTTGGGTATTGTGGACAGCGGCGTGATAGCTGGGAGAGCGCGCTTGGATCCGCTCGTTCGACGCTTCGGTTTGGGTGGCCCGTTAGAAGAGAAGGGTGTACCTGCTAGATTAGGTGTCCCCGCTGGCGACTCAGTCGCATCCTCCTTCTTCGACCCTCTCCTTACCGGCTGGGCGGCCTCTGCTTCGGCTTCGGCCTTTGCGCGCTGAAAAGCGTCGTACAAACCGCCGACTTGCGACAGATATGGATTGAAGGTGGAGGGCTCGATGTGGGGTACATTTGTCAGAGTCACGGGTGGGATGTCTTTGGTGGATGGAGGGCGGTGGCCTGCGGTCGCCGTGGCAGTGGTATGCGGCACCATGCCAGTCCGCATGATGGGAGGGGTGAGCAACGTGGAGATGGCTAAGCCAGGGTTAGCCTCTTATACAGCTGTCCAGACATGATCACCGTGTATACCCACCATTGTTACTCTGCTCTCTCACCGCGCCCATGGTGCTCTTGAAGCCGCTGTCGAGTGCGCCCCCAACCGAGTGTATCGAAGACGCGGTTGAGCCACGTCGCGGCTTGTAGCGCCCGCCCGTGGAACTGGGCCTGTTTGTCCAGTCATGGTTCGCTGCTGGGAACGGGAAGGCGCCCTGCGGTGGGTTCGGCGACAGGAACTCGAAGCTCTCGGTCGATCTCCGTGGGGTATCGGGGGAAGACATGATGGCGGCGCAGGTCGGGGGTGGTGAATAGGCGGCGGCATGGGTGGGCAGGGGGACACATCTATCGCATGCTGGACGACGTATGGACGGGTATCAAGCTCCGAGTCATCAATCAAAGACAGCAAACAGAAGGCGCAATGGGGAGATTGGTTGTGTCAAGCGTCACTTGAATGTCGTGGCTAGCCAAAGTTCCACGCGCTCGGTGGTGACGGTGCATGGGCCCTGGAGCGGCTTCTGGAAGCTTGACAAGGATCATGCAGCCGAAACACAACCGCCGACGGCTCCACCTACTTCAGACCCTTATGTAAGCCACGCCTCTCTTCCCAACCCATCCGCCTCCCTTACATCCTTGGGATACCGTTATGCTTTACCCCAGCCTCTCCTCCACAGCCGTTCTCAACATCCATACTATGCCACCAACTCTGCTACCTCCTTCCCCTGCGTCTTGCCTGTCGTCAGCAGGCGGCTTGACAGCATCTCTACTTTCCTCATCCAATCCATACTTGTTACACACAGAATTCCAGTCAGTGGAAATAATCAAGTCTCCTCGGCAGAAATGACATCGCATCCGTTTCCGGTCGCTCCGCGCAATCCTGCGCATCTGATCAAGGCACGGCTGGCATAAGATATGACCGCAAGGCACGATGATCGCAGGATTGGCCACAGTTTCGAAGCAGATCGGACATTGAAAAGGTTTGCTGGCTACTGCAAGTCGCTCGAGTGCACCATCGTCGAATTCGCTCTCTGCTGGCTCGAGGTCGAGTCTTCGAAATAGTTCGTGCATGGCTTCCGAGCGTCTGAACGCATACCTTGGCTGAGCATAATCGACATCTCGCCTAGCGCTCTCAATAAATCGCCCATCTCCCACCGCGCCTGGGTTGCGACTTGCGCGTTCTTGCATGGTCGGACGCACAGGGTTCTGTAACGCATTCCATACTGAGTGACTACTCAGATCAGGAACCGGTTCATTGAGAGATTGCGGAAAAGTTTCGTCAATGTCGGTTATAAGAGTTCGTATACGGGACCGTGTTTGCGCCGAGGTTTGCAAAGGGCTCATAGTCCTACTGGAGCTTTGCGTAGGCCGCATCATGTCTTGAATCTCATCTTGCGCCGCAGGCGTAAGAGAGATGGATGCAGATCTATGTCTATATGCCGAGTCCCTAGCAGGTATTCTACCGTTGGGTCCCATGATCGCGATGTGGTCGGTACTTGCTTGGGGTGATGTCGTCTGTACTCGAGGTAGTGGAAAAGAAAGATGAATGAAATGAATATCAAGAATAGTGTGCGTGGATTTTATATGAACTTCGACTGAAGTAGCAAAATTCGTGGTTGCAGGTACCTTGGTTGGCATTCTCGCTTCCCAAAGTTTTGACGAGACGTAATGTGCGGATTGGAATCACATCAACGTAGACAGATTCGCGAACGCACTAGGTCTACCATTGCGACTGTGACTCTGGAAGATCCTGTCTTTAGAACCGATCAAAGAAGAACGAGAGATACCGACATGCAGGGATCAGTAACATCAAGCAGACTATCATGTTCATCTTGATCCAGGCCCATTTCTATAAAATTGCGAAACTGCGCGACAACGGCTAGCGATGATTGAATGGAGCAACGAACTCCAGACCATGTTATCTTAGCTACTCTTCTCCTTGTCTCGAGGTGCGGAATGTATCTGTACCTTGACCCCTTCTTTGGCGTAAATGTGCACGACCCCCTCTTGCGAATCATAATCGAACTGACCTAAATGGCGGTTGTTCGCAGAGCACTGTAAGGGAACCAGTGCTTTTCTCCGCTTCGCATTGGGTGGGCTGATCATGTCCATGAAGCTGCGCCTCTTGCTTGCCGTTGAAAGGCTAGACACCGCACTAGATATGAGTGGTAACGAGCTGGCCGCCCCAGATGCCGTCGACATTGGTGTAGGAGGACGTAAGGTATTCAGACGCTCTATTGTGTCCTCTCTCACAAGAATACGCATTTCGCGAGATGCCCGTGTTCCTTTGCCTTGTGTGCTACCACCTGCAGAGCCTTGAGAACTTAAAATCGTGGTGCAAGTATGCTGCTGCGTTTCCTGGATTGTAGCTGCACTGGGAGACGCTTGGGGAACAGCTGGTATGGTCCTTGGTCGGGGGGTCACCGGCGACGAGCGGGGTGTAGTCCGCTGTGTCGTCTGCTGCGTAGTGTCGTCGGTCGTTACAGTCGCTTGAGACCCGCCCATCTCTTTGGTGTACTTCTTGACCAGCAAAGCAACGTCACGAGCATGCCCATCGAGCTTGTCAGCATCAGGCACCTCCCACTTCTCCTCAGCCATACGTTCCAAATCTTCCAAAGACACAGCATCTTCCCAAGTTCTGTCATGATGTATTTTCTTGACTCTGGGGTGTCGCAACATTTCGAAGGATTCGTTTTGGAGCTTCTCAAAGCCGCCGCCAAGAATCTCTGCTACGAAAGGCTTCTTGAATGCTGCGGTCATCCGCCTGTGATAGCCTTTGGGATGCTGAATTTCGAACTCAAGGGTCGACCCATTGTCTCGTAGGGTAGACAGGCGGATGTAACCTTGAACGTTCATGTATTTCGCATCGCTCTTTGGTATGCACTTGTCGAGGCTGAGGCTCGCAACGATCCTGATCTTTGGCTTTGCACCCGTGCGTTGTACCGCATCTTTGTTCGTACAACACCCCAAATGGAAATGCGTCCAATGTAAAGGCCTCAAGTCACTCTTTGCCGCGACTTGCGCATCAAAGCTAGCCCCAACCACAGCGAAGTCGCCCAAATCTCTCTCACCACCCATGTCACCGAGGTAGTCTTTTTTCAATTTGATAAAGAAACCTGCTTGACGATGCCCTTGCTCTGACAGAAGTGGGAAGTACGGCGCATGCAACGGTTTGAGAACTAGTCCTTCTTGGTGTTCGGCTAGGTTCCGGGCGAATATCTCTTTAAGGTCTGTTATGCCATCCCCTGTCTTAAAGTCCAAAAGTGTCCACTCCGATCGCATTGACCGACCGGGGATTACATGGACAAGGTTCCTCAAGATCTTGCGACGGTCTTGAAGGCAGTGACGTAGAGTAGATTCGTCATCCAGCACAAGGATGTCGAAAAACACGAGCATGAGATGCTCCCACTCGTGCGGCAGTGAATCTTGAAGCGTGCCGATGAAGAGACCAGAGCGGGTGATGTGCTTCCTGATCTTTGAGAAGCCCATTATTCTCTTTTCTTTGTCACTGTAGAGTACCATCTCGCCCAAGATGATTCACTTCTTCTTCAAGATGCAGTCTGGCCGACCGATACGGAGGGCATCGCGGATCGTGGCATGCAGAGGCTTTCGGTCCGCCGTTGCGTCTTTTCCATTTTTAGAAAAGATGCGGATGTCATTAGGTGCGTTGTCCAAGTCAATGTGTATCTCACAATACTCGCCGTCGTACTTCACTTCGGCAGCCCAAGCGCGCTGACCCACAAGCTGCATGCAATGCTTGAAAGACCAAGCTTTGTGGAACGTCGGTCGCCCCACCTTGATTCCAACAATAGCTCTCAATCTCTGGGCCGCGTCGACACGCATAGATCTTTGCTTGGACGGCTCTGGTACTGCGGGATAACAGCTCAGATCGCCTCTGAGCATCTTGAAGACGGCGTCGAAGTCATTTTGGAACATTAGCAATTCTGGTAAGAGAAAGTGGTAGCATTCCAGAACAAACTGCTCATCGAGCTCCACGGTACAGTGATCTCGCAGAATGAGACGCACCAGCCACTTTGCTTCCCACGACTCGAGTCTCACGAGTATTTCCTTCAGCTCGGTATCCGTTTGGAAATCCGAGTCACGCTTCTTCCTGATGCCCTCGTCGGAGAACCGATACCTCGCTGCTAATTGTACCAGCAATCGATCGATTCGTTCGATCGGAAATGCACGTTTGCTTGCGAATGTGCCATCCCAAGGTTTCATTGCTCGTTCGACATATGCCCCAAGGTCACCGTGTTTCCCTGTGTGCCAGCCCTCGTATAGAGCCAATTGACCGTGGTTGAAGGCAAGTAGGTTCGCGAGTTTCTTTGCCAGTAATGGCGATTGCATTCCATAGACTCGGTCTTTCCTTCGATGTGGAAAGAGAGCAGACAAGACGGCACCCCCGTTTGTATCGGGATCATCTAGGGCTTCTCTCTGCTTGAGGAACCACTGCGAGGTTGTCTCGCGTATACGGTATTTCTCTTGCTTGGCAAGTAACCGTGGTCGCCGTGTCGTGATGGTCTCGACGCTTTGTAGGAGACTGCAAATGGCGCCGAAGGTGACGGTCATTGTAGGCGTGCCGATGTACGCAAATGGGGAATTATCGTATCGTGCTGGGTCTGCTAGGGCTGTTTATGCTTGAAATAAGTATGCGGCATGCCAAAGGCAGTAGCAAGTGCTGTGCCTGCTTCCAACAGCACCTGGTGGATATCGTGAACCGTGCCGCCAATCTATGGTATAAAGATATCAATGATCGAGCGTGAACAGGCTCGATAGAGTTGTGCGGAATACCGTCTGTGTACGCACAGCAGGCGGACAATTGGTCGATGCGCACGTTTGAGGCCTCAATATCCTCATCATAGTCGCAATAACGTTGCCGAGCCTTTGACGTCGAAGGCGCACTTGAGGTTTGTAAATAGGAGCAAATCAAGGCAATCAACAATGGCGTCTTTAGGTCTATAAGAAGAACAGAAGTAAATTGATGATGCGGATCAATAGAAGGCTTGGTCGCGTCCCAACAAAGTCAAGATGAATGGATGGAGGGGCTCTTGGACGCGCACGCGCTTCATGACGCGCTAATGCAAATCATCACGGGAACACGCGTATGCTAGGCTTAACACGGACAGCGAGGGAACTTGCCCCATTTGCTGCGAGCTGCTGACGGGCTACCTTCCGACAGTGTCATCGTTTCATATGATTATGGCGAGCATGCATGCAACAGCAGATAGCAGAATGCGAGGTTGAGCAGGTTGCCGTTCTCATAGACGGCATTTGATGAGGCCGAGCAAGCGGTTAGCGTATACGTCATGACACGTCGCTTGATCCTCCACCATGGACATTGATCAGCTCGCGCTTTCGAGTGACCGAGCGCGCTTCAACTGGCCGAGGAGACAAGATCTATATAATTGGCGGTGTTAGACTACAGAATTACCGCCAATTGCACTTCAAGTCTTCGAGCTGGACACAGCAGTAGCCAGGTAACCCCGCTCTAGCCGGCCTTGCGACGACAGTACTAACGTTGACAGTACTACGTAGACAATTGGCACAATGGCGCCAGGCCAAGGCCAGCAAGGCAACCCGAATGATCCTCGATCAGAAGAATCGAAGAAGAAGGATTTGATTGCACGCGGCGATTACACACCCACACCAGCTGGCAAAGTAACCTTCTTCCTCCTACGCGGCATCGAGCCTGTCCTTCAATATTCAATCCTCGCGCATGGCCTCGGCACATCCGTCCTACATCGCGTAGGACTGCGAACACTACCTCCCGGACTGCCAACGCATACAGGCATATCTCTGATCGATGGCATGGGCCTGTCACCATACCGATTGGTATTGCTTGGAATGGCAGTCGGCGCAGCTGTGAAGCAGAACATTTGGGTAACAGCACTTTCCGGAGAGCCAATGCCAGTCAAAGGCGCCATCGCGGTGGGTCTGTTCAACGCTGTCTTCAACAGTCTGAGCACCTACGCCTTCCTCACATCAGCTACCTCCGCCTCGACCGAAGCCACTTTCCCACAACCCGCACTCCTCGTCGGCAGCTCGCTATATGTCGTAGGCATCGTGACGGAGCTTGTCGCAGAAATACAGCGCAAGCGCTTCAAGGCGGACCCCAACAACAAAGGCAAAGCTTACACGGGAGGTCTTTGGAGCTTCGCACGCCACATCAACTACGGTGGCTACACAATCTGGCGAGCGGGTTATGCCATGGTCGGAGGAGGATACACGTTGGGTGCGTTAGTAGGAGCCTTCTTCGCGTGGGATTTCACACAGCGGGCAATCCCCATACTTAACGAGTATTGCGAGAAGCGTTATGGTGCGCAATGGGAGGAGTTCAAGAAGAAGACTCCGTACCAGCTGATTCCCTACGTCTACTAGATCAGAGCGAGCGGTAGTGTACATATTCTAGTGGGGTTACGATAGGAGAACCGAGGCGCATATACATAGCATGTTATCTCCGGACGAGCCATGCAAGCTCCATCTCATTCGATGCCCCACCTCATTCGACGTTCCATGTACTGCGAGAATGCACGACTTGTGCATGCACAATTCCAGTCGTACGATGCTGTTGTCTGAGACATCGGAGGACCCCTCATGCAGTCGGTAATGTTCATCACACCAAGAACCACAAGTTATCGTACCGATGACAGCGGCACAAGACCGACACTAAGGCCCAAATGCCGGACCAGCTGCCTACCGAGCGCAAGCCTATTACCCAAAGTAGCGCTCACGATAACAAATACCCCGTCTTGAGATACGACACCCAGTCATCCTAGCACGATGCAGGTGCGATTCTCGTCAGCACGGCAGAAACCGAGCCTTGTGCTGCGTTCGTGCTGTCGTGGCCAAGGGGCATTACTCGTACACAAGCCGCTAAATAAAATGAGCGTAGAAATGATGGTGTGCGATCTGGTATGCAGGTGAGAGATCTGCGGACGTTGTGTAACCCTCCAAACCAAGGGCTTGGGTTTTACTGGCATTGTGGATTGTGATGGTGTGTAGAAGGTGGGTGGATACGAATCATGTGCCGTGATTGTATTGAAACTTTGCGCCTCTTCGATGGAAGATGCTTGGTAGCGGGTCGTCGGCCTATTAGGCGTGCAACATCACAATGGCAGCCGGAACAAAAGCCTCATCGAAGCTGAGGGAAGGTCGACAACGCACGACTTTTGTTCGGAGAGTTGAGGTTGGCAATAACGACATACGACCGAACGCGGGGTGACAAAGACCCGAGGGCACAATCAAGCAATGATCTACAATTCAGCTCTTCAGGGTCCTTTTCCGTGGCGGTTCGCAGCACGATGTCGCTCAAGGATGCCGCTACGCGATGCTACGCCACAAACGCAGAGTCTGGTACACTTGCGCTTTGTACGGGCTGTTCTCCAATTTTCCTTCTATGAATACCCACCGAAAGACTCGTATCTCCACAGAAAGTGTTTATTGATGGGTATCATCAGAGACGCAGGCTTGTATTGACGATGACGGTCAGGAGGTGGCAATGCCTATTACTAGAAGATTCTCGGCGAAGGCCGAAGCGGATCTGCCGGGCAGAATTGACCGAAGACGGCGATGGTGGTGATGGGAAAAAAGAGCCTCAACATTTTTCGGATAGTCGCAAAGATCACGATCTGGAGGAGCTTGGCTGGCGTTGCAGCATGTCCCATGGTTGAGTGCGCAGTGCTAGAGAGCGGGGAACGGCTGAAGGTGCATCGATGTGCATGCAACCCCACTCTGGGATATAGACAAAAGTAGCGGACGAGCAAGGCCTGCGAGCGGGCTGTTCAACACATCACGTTAGATGAAACGGTATCAGGGCCTTGGTAGTATCCCGGTCAGATGTGCGCTGGGGTGAGGTCTCGCGATGATGGCCCCGGCAGTCTCGCTGGCGACGGGTGCGGGCGACAATTAGACAGTGCTCGAAGTCAAGGTCATGGCTTCATCACCCAGATGGCGGCACAGGGCACGCTTGCCTGAGGATGAAACACTATAGCCGGTGCCACGAGCGATGTGTCAGACGTCGCACTCGCAGCTCGTAAAAAGTGAGGTTCAAAAAGGAACGCGGGATGCAACCAGAGGCGATCATGCACAGCTAACTGGGGCCTGCAGGCCGCGATGCTCGAGCCACGTTTGCCGATGATTCGACGCGGAGAGGAGCAGCTCGGCAGCGAGCGGGATTCGTGAAGTTGGCGACATGTATGCAGCAGCGCAGCCGGGATGCTCGGTGTGCAAGGCTCAAGGTAGTAGTCGGGAGCCGTATACGGACGCGACTCCGCCTGGCTGGGGCGGCTGTTTTGACTTGAGGGCCTCTCGCGCGCGACGGATTCAGGTTTTGTGGCGTTATTTGAGCCTACTATGGACGTGCTGGATCGCGCTTGGGAGATGGCATAGCAAAGCGCCATGGCGACAGCGTAGAGGAGGCCTTTCGTCATTGACACTTGCGCGGTGGAGACGTGGTTCCCAGGCGTCGGCTCACCCATTTCTAGCGCGATCGCCCTCAACGGCAAGCACGGAGAGTACCCAAGATACTAAGATACAAGACACGGCCGCTTCCTCTTGCGGGCGCACTCGTCCCGATTCTGCTGCCATCAGTCCTATCCTGCTCCCTACACGCGCCCTTCCCTTTGTTCCCCACCGGCCTGCCCACAGTGCAGACGTTTCTTTTTGTACTTCCCTATTCAAAAGCTGCGTGTGCCGCTGCTGCACTCTCGGGTGGGCTAGTTCGCGACCTCGCCGCCGCATCCATCTGTAAGTCAGCAATTCGCGCGCCTCGACGCCATGCAGGTGCTACGCTTGATCCGCGCAGCCCAGCTGGCGTCTACCCGTCTTCTATAACTCTCAAACCGCGCGTGTTGACTGTTCTTTCTTTAGAGTAAGCTTTTCTAGCGTCTCTGGCTGGACTGGACCATTGCTATTAAGGACCCTTCCCACCCACGACTCGACACCTTCGCACATCATCCCTCCAATCTCGACTCCTCCCGCCGGGCCTCGACTGCCCTGCCGCCGTTGCCGCTTTCGCTTGCTCCGTGTGCCGTCTGCATATTATCAGCATCACCAATTGCTGTGGCCATCACCTTACATCAGCCCATAGCCGGAAGCAGTGGGAGTCAGTGCATTGCATCAATCGCAACGCCGCAACACAACTTCACCACCGACCCCCCTTCACTGCCAGCCCAGAATTTGCTAGTTTGCCCAAAAAGAACGTCATTGTCTGTTCTTTAACGCTGTCGGTCCGACGTCAGCGCGCTGATCTGTGTTTCACTTCCCGTGATTCGTGACGCGAAGAACGCAGAGCCATTCATCATGCAGGCTGTCATGGCGCAACCCCCACAAACCTCTGCCTACGGGGCTGTTCCTCTCCGCCGTAAACCCATAGCAAACCCCGGCATATCGGTGCGACCCCCGCAACACCAATACCACAACGACGGCCAACTAGGACATTCACGAACGCGCACTACGAGCTCAGGCATCTTCCCTGCCCAGTCACCCACTGCAAGCACCATGAACTCGCAATATCCAACCCAGTACCAGAGCAGTCTCCGCCGAACTCCTACCTCGTCAACGAGCTCTAC